CATGGTGTTGGCCTAATTTATAGTTTGCTATCTCTTTACAAAAAATGATAAAATCAAAATTTGTCACAGACCTTGAAATTTTTCAGTATTCCTCATGCAATGCTAATGATCTGCCATAATTTTTACTATAATTACTAGTGACTATATTTGAAATTCTTATTCCTAAGCCCAACTTCTATCTCTAAACAATGAAGTAAACTATCTGCATAACAAAAAATTTACACTCAGAAGAGCAAGCTGCTTACCTGAAAATTATATCAAGTCCRTTTTTGGTCTCATGCTCACTTGGGACATAGGTTCATTTACTAGAATAATGCAGAATTTCAATACTATTTAAGTTATATTTTTGATGGTAATGTTGTTTTTTTTATGGTTTTTGGTCAAGTAGATATAATTGAACTCATGAATTCCATGATAAAACTCATAAGTAATGTATCTTTCAATGCAATTGCATTATTAGTCAACAGAGAAGTTCACAAGTATGTGTCAAAATAAGTAAATATTTTTGGTAAACTGTATTTGTCCATTGATTCTCAATTTATAACAAGTCTTCAAAAGTAGGTTTAAGAGGAAATTTTCTCAGAAAAATAAACCAAAAAATACCTTGTAATATTTTAATAATATCATATCAATGTAATGTTTATAAAATATAATTTAATAGTSAAATATCTGCTAAAATTTTAAGATTTATGTATAGTAAGAAAAGGTAACAATAAATTTATACCTTCCAATCTTTTAAATTATTTCACTTTAATTGGGTTTCATAGATGCTAAAGCCACTAAGAAAAACTTAAGCTATAAAAATATTTATGGAATGTGGAAACAAGTAAGTAAAGCCTTATGGTTTATTTGACTCTGTTGATTTGGAAAACACAAGATGCATTGCTGGGATAATGCAGACAGTTTCAGTCTAAAGATAATATAACAGTAGGCTAATTAGACTTTAAACCCCAGTAGGTTGAATTGTTTTCTTGTGAGAAGCTCCCTGAAGCAATTGGTCTCTCTGTACGGGTAGAATACRGGTGAAACCTACTTTCCCTAGTGAACACGTCAGTGACCACTGACATTAGTACAGATGGATGCACTCCAGGGCAGAGATGGAAGGCCAGAAGTACAATATCTTCAGGAAGTGACCCCCATCTCTCGCCTCCAGAGTCTCTGAATACTTACCGGCACAGCAAGCTTTTCAAAGTTACTCACAATAATGATGAAAAKCAGCAGAGGAAATAAAAAGTCAAAACACAAAATCTCTTCCATTATGAGGGGCAAAATGTCAGCTGGCATCTATATAGAGTAGAAGTATTATTTCTAAAAGAGCCCTCTGTGTAAACATAATCCAAAAATATAACATCAAAATCCCTAAAACAGCAAGCCCTCTTATAATAAATTTTTCCAAGGTAAATTGCTGGCATGATAAAAATTACTTGTCTCCCATGCATGAGGTCCTCCCATGCGCGTGTTCGATCCCCAGCACTGCCCATGAGCACAGTGCACATACGCACAAGCACAAGTCATCCACAAAAGGATTCTAAATATTCTTTCATTTGAATAATTATCTCATAACTATCAGTTGGCTGTAAAAGCACAGTAATTTACCAGTGCCATTTCCATTAAATGAATAAAATGTAAAATTGTAATAAATATATAATCTCTAATAGAAATTTTAAAGATCTATATTTAATCTTGAAATCAACTATGTATGTGTGGTTCACATAAGACTGAGAGCATGCCCTCAATACATAAGATCTCTGCAAAAAAAWTTTTTGAAGCACCTATTTATATCTTCCCTTGTCTGGTTGCTTACATTTTATAGTAAAAACAAAAACAAGATTTTTTTTCACTAAATTCTTGAGCTTCCCCTCAGTTATTTGTTACAGTATCAATATTTTGGGGCTGTTCTTTACTCCCTGAGGGCTTCTAACATCATCCTCTCCAGAGAAAGAAGGGAAATACAGTGTCTCTGCCCTACTTACACCGGAGGTTGAAGAAAACTACCTGCCAGACACAGCAATAGCACTCTTGGGCTCTAGTGGGTGAAAGAGGCACTAACTAGCTCTCTGGGAGTCTCAGCAGGAGCACACCCCTGCCTCTAGAGGTAAGTGGAAAGGAACCAGCCTTAGAAGTCTTCCTGAGAAGGGAAACTGGAACATTAGGAACARTATTCAAGTCATGACATGACCTAGCGTGCAGGGTCATGCTACACTCTGCTTGTGGGGGTGAGCAATAAGCATACTCAGCAAACTTCCCTGGTCATCCAGAGGCTGATGAGAGTGTCAAGGAAAAAATAGTCTAGAAATCTTTATTCTCAAAATCTACCCCTCCATGGAAATCTATTCTTGTGTGTCACTCAGTTGCTAAATAATTAAGTTTAGCATTTTAGGAATTACGGCAATTCTTCTTCCTTCAAGCATTTTCTTTAGGGAAAGACTGAGGTGAACAAATCATGACCACAAATTTGGAGTATCTGCTGAATATTATTCACACATTGCTTTCCCTACAGAAAAAAATTACTGYTCCAATTTTATCTTTCAGACTTTTGCTTTGTTCACTACATTATGCTGACATGTCAAAGTTTATGCTGGTATTGAAATCATACAAAAACAATRAAATAATAACAATATGTAAATGTCTTCTGAATGCAAATAAGCATATGATTACTKCTGCTGTTTTAGAAAACCAGTGTATGTTGTAATTATGAATTTTAGATTTTATTTTTCARATATCTTATACTTTTAAAAACCTAAATAATAATGAATATTTATGTCTGCCATTTTCTTTTTTTCCATTTACACAAGGGAAAATCAAATATTCTATACTACTCTACATTGGAGTTTATTTAGTGTATTAGCTCACTTTTTAGTGATTTTCYATTTCTTTGAAATACATGACAAAATTAAATCATCACAAGATGTCAAATTCTTCCTGTGTGCAGCAACAATGTTTATTTTTAGAGATTTTTTTTTCTCTCAAGACCTTCTTGGGGAAATGTGAGAGAATCTCTTTACTTCATTCATTCAAAGGATTTTGGCACATTATTCTAATTCCTGAAAGATGGCCTTATGTTTGTATCTAGTAAGTAGGAAAAAAAGTTTTATTGTTTGATATATGCTATCACTTTAAAAGTGTTGTGCTTTTGACATTGCTGATAAATAAAMGCATCACATATAATCATTCAAAGGAGTGTAAAATTAAATAAACAAAGCTTAGCATTTTATTTGCATGTTACTGTTGAATGTCACATATTTCTGAAAATAAACCACTTTCATTTTTGTTTTTAATACTGAAGCGTGTTTCCATTTAAAAAAAAATATAATATGAGTTGCAAGATCTTTCCATGGGGAATTAAAGAAGAGACAGTATTCTACTCTTGATTCCAAGCTTTGAAATTCTAAATAGCATGACAATCTAATTTGTCTTAAATCAAGGTCATTTATAGGTTTGCTTCTTTAAGTATCTTCCTAATGGAGGAAACATGTTTGATTATTTAGTAGGTCCTTTCAGTATGAATATTCTCTCAACCAAACTCTTTGTGATCTATGGACCACAGATGTCATTAGCTTTTATAAATTTTCCTTTAGACTTTGCAGYGTATTTTGCAAATAAGTACCTTAAAATCGAACCTTTTGTAAAATACATTTGCTCTACATATAAATGACTGAGGCTACTGATTTCTGGGACGGATAAATATCTCAGGGAACGCAAAGACAGTCGTTTTGAGGCTTTGTTTGGCGGGACTATGGGTTTTCCAAACAGCTAATGTCATTCAGAACTATGGACAGCTCCCATTAAAGCATACTGTTGATTGCAATTTCCCTTAGTTTCTAAACACAATTCAAAATAATGCTGCATTTTTATGCTATATTTGTTTGCTGTTTAGTAGGAGTCTATTAAAACTGCTCGGTATGCTTTCAAACTCCTTTAGTTGATTCATTTCTCTTTTTCAAAAGAGTTCAGTTAAATAAATAAATAAATAAATACCATCCAGAGTTACTWCTTTTTGATTTTCAAAAGGAAAGCCCTGACCTGTTCAGGAGCTAATATAACGTGACAGCACGATATGTGTATGCTAATAGGATCTTCTTCACGACCTTCATTTGACAATCTATCATGCTTGTAACCGAATGAATATTTGGGCAATGAATGAGATCAGGAAACGTCTTAATTTTCATACTCCGAAGCAGAGTTCTCCTGCTAACAGCTCTGTTGCCCTTCCTCCCGAGCTGGGAAACAAGAAAGAGATTTCTGAAATAGACTCATAGTCAAGGTCAAGAAAGGGTGTAGCTCTATTTCAGGAAGGGGGCTCTGGAAACGCCCCCTGTCTCTGTTTCAGGAACTCTGAGGCTTCCTGTCAGCTCCTGCCCAGCCTGGCAGTTCCCACTCCACTGAAACGTCAAGTCAGCGCCTATCCAAGCGCAAATTACCCTTCCTCCGCCTGCCAGCCACTATTCTGAAGAAATGCGATGAGGATACCCKGTGCGAATAAGCATAAGAACAACAGATTAACACTCCTCAGAGGTGAGAGGTCCCCAAGGACCTGTGAGTTACCGTCTCCAGCTATCCACCCTCTCCTGAACCCTAGAGCAGCATTTCTCCTTTTGGGAAGGACGGATATCTTGAGGGAGAGGCACTAGGAAGGGTGTCTGCCCTCTTCCTCCCATCACTGAAGTAAAAGTTCCTTGGTACAACTTAGCATCCTTCCTTCTGGGGATCACCATGGCCTTCACCATTCCCAGATCTGTCCCCAAAGTTCACAAAACAGAGAACAGTTTCCCCRGGGCTTGCTGGCAACAGGATCTCACCATTCAAATCCCTACTGGGTGGCAACTAGTTGGAGAAGAGTAGAGCCTTGTCTGCCCAAGTAGCAGCTGCCAGGGCTACTCACCTCCTGCCCAACACCCCCAGACTTTCGAGCCCCTGGGGTGCCCCCTTCCCAAGAACAGAGAAGGGTGTGAGAGAGCGCGCCTGGAAAGGAGGGTGGGGCGGCGACTGGGAGCCCTCACCTGAAATCACTGTAAGGGTGGATAATCCAGAAGCCTGCAGTTTTAACCCTTTCCTGCTCCTTCTCCACCGCCTTCTGGCTGCCAAACATTCGGAGGGAGAATTTGTTGACCCCAGGCTGCAGCATGGAGGTGAACTGCCTCTGCATGAAGCCATACTGCCGACGAGGTCCCTCGGCGTCCTCGAAGCTCCCCGCCGGCTCCTCGCCGCCGCCGCCGCCGTCCACCTTGAAGCACACGGAGTTGCCGTGCTCCTTCGAGCCGGCCCCTCCACCCCCAGGCGGGGTGGCCAGGCGCTTGTCGGCCACGGCCGGCCCCGCGCCCGTCGCGGGCGCCTTGGAGGGGAAGACGCTGTTGCCATCGTCCCGGCTGTTAGACGAGGAGTTGGGCTTGCAGCCTCCTTCCATGCCCGGAGGACGCGGCAGGAGACAGCGCGGACTCCAGACTCGCCGGCCGCCCGGCGCCGGAGGCACGAAGCCGAGGGGCAGGGGCCCAAGCCGGCTGCCCGTAAACTCGGCTGCCCGTCGCGGCGGCGGCGGCGGCGGCGGCGGCTGCTGCTTCCCGCCCGCGCCGCTGCTCGCTGCGCGCCTGGCTCCCGCCGCCGCCGCTGCCCTCAGTGGCTGCGCTCCGGGCTCCGCCGCGCCTGGTGCTGATGCTGAGGCTGCTGGAGCGGGGCGAGGCGAGGCTCAGCTCAGCCCTCACGCGCCAGCGCCTCCCCTCGGCTGCCCTCTGCTGGCCGGAAAGGGTCTCTCCCCGCCCGCACGCCACTCACTCTCCTCCACTCTTGCTCCACTTCTGCCCAGCGTGACATTGAACTCAACAGCCCTCGGAGACATTTATTTGCACTTGTTGCGAGGGAGATTTGGCATATGTGTGTACTAAAGAAGATAGGCTAAGGGACGGACGGACGGACACACACATACACACACACACACACACACAGCTTAAGCTAGTGAGTTCGTCCAAAAGAAACAAATACCCTAAAACTCATGGATACACTGTCTGAACGCCTGTTTGAATGATGATACAGATGGGGGAAAAGGGAGAGACTGATTCAACACCCCCGAAAATTACGTGTGCTAGGAGCACATAAGAAATTCAGGTTTGACAATAGCAAACAAATTTCATGAATAAAAAGGCAAGTGACTGTGTGTGTGTGTGTGTGTGTGTGTGTGTGTGTGTAAGAGAGACAGAGTCGCGCCTGCGCGCACACAGAAAGAGGCAGACGACCAAAGTGACTAGGTCTTTGCAACCCTGGGCAATCAGCGGCTTGGGGCTTTTCAGATTAAAGCTCTGCGCCTTGGAAGGGACAACTGACCTCCTTCCCCTTATCCTTGTCTATTTTCGCGCAGATCCTTAAGCAGGGGACGGAATTTCTTTCTTATCAAGGTTTACTTATATCAACTCACATGTGAGTAAGTCTATTGGTCACCAATAGCGAGAGGAAATGTGTGACAGAGACTGTGACTGAACTGACCTATCTCTTAAGATAAATTATATAATCAATAGAACACATTTAGAGGCATGTGTGCYGGTCAGGGTTCACTTAGATCATGTAGGAAGTAGAGATGTTTCGGGATTTGGTCAGAATATAATCATCACTTCAGAAGAGGGAGCATTCTCAAGTGAAATTTACAGCATGCAACTCATGCTGAGGAAAGCATTCTCAGAATCCCTCTGTGTCTTCCAAACCCACTGGATTAGCTAAAAGAAGCAAAATGTGCTGCCAAACTCACCAGTCACTCAGCAGGGCAGCCTGGAAGTCTGAAGAGCTTCAAGACTCATGAATGTCCCAAAACATCTGTTCCAGATACAAGCCTTGCCTCCCTGCCCACAGCCTCTTCAAAGGAAATCTTGCCTTGCCAACAGTCCCTGATTCTCTGGGTTCTTGTCATCTACAGCCACATCTTTGGAAAGTGGGTAGACACTTCAGGAAGGAGAGGTTGATCTGCCTGGCAACAATGGCCTAGCATTAAAAAAAAAAAAAAAAAAAAAGAGTAGGGTCAATCAAGGTATTTTCCTGAAAAATTGTGCAGTGATGAAGCCAGTTAACAATGAGAGAGACAAGGGGAAAAAAAGACAACTGAATGCTTTGGTGAGAGGTTAATAGACGTGGAAAAGGTAAAAGAAGCAGAAACAAGAAGTCTTTAAGCCAACTCAGTTAGAATTTTGAAAATTTCCCTTACCATATTCTAATACTATAGTCTATGCTAAATTTCTTTTCCCAGTACGCTATGCCCTGACTCAGACACCATCTGTTTTCAACTAATCAAAATCCAGAACCCCMAAAATAAGTATAAGTGGCCAAATTCGAATGGTAAGAAAAAAGGGGAGAGCTCCGATCTTTCAAAGTAAGCACTTGGAAATCCAAGAGGTGAGATGAGGATACCAGGTGTGGAGGGTTGCAGAAAGTCATAGGATGGATTAAAACAAACCTTGATTACAGCAGAGTTCTGCTTAAGAAAGGCCCAAGTGCTCCAGCAGCTTTTCTCCATTAGAATGAAGACATTTCTTTACTGTCTCCCTTTCTGCATGTTCCCCAATCTCTCTATTTTCAGTCATGAGTGTGAAAATGTATATTTTAACATAAATTTTAAATTTTATAATAATGTAAAAATATACCATCTTAAATGTTATGCTGACTGAGTTTAAGTAAGCTTCTCTTTTCTTTTAGCCAATTCCTCTCTTTGTTCTATTTCAACTTCTTCGTAATCATGACCAAGCAGTTATTTTAGTAAAAGTTTTTCTGAGTTTCAGTGTCTATACCAATACGACAGAATTAGCAAACAACAAGATATCAAAATAAAACCAAGAAATGTCTAAAAAGGATCATAAATCATTGGTTCCTCCAAGAATTTTATTTTATTTGTCCTAATTCTCAAAAAAATAGATTGTTTTTCCAATTTGGGAATGAGTGTATTTTATCAGTGTATTAACTTGAAGTTGTCAGCAATTTATAATATCAAGTATCTTCACTCTCAGAGTGTTGACTTAAAGCTGTTTAATATATGGGTTTACATAACAAAGTTGCTTCGGAAGAAGAGAGAACTTGAAAAAAGATGGTGTAGAATAAAAGCAATAAAAGACTGGAAACAATGAGAGAAAAAGAAGCAGGGAGAATCATGAACAACTTGGAGAAAATTGCTTTGTATGTGTCAGTCCCTTCCTTCACAAGTTACYTTAGGATAAAATCCACTGAACTAAACAAGAGAGTTTTTCAAAACCATCTCAGAAACAGGACTACCATCATCTGTCATTAGATGTCATGATGTCAAAGTACCTTGTACTTCAGAGGAACCCAATTTCTGAGAACTCATGAGAGAATATCAATTATGATTTTATTTCATAAGAATGTCTCATCAGTATTTGTAATGACTGCTGTTCAGTATATTYAAGAACTGTACATCTTTTAAAATGTTCCCTGACTCCTTTAATACTCAGCTTAAGATCAAATTGCAGACAGCAGCAGAAGATTAATATGAATCGAAAATAAAATTTTCATGCAGCAGACGCAAGCACATGTGAAATGAGACAAAAAAGATAGATGAGTGACTTGAAGTTTGACAGCTTATTGGAAAATTCTCAGTGGAACTTAAAGGTTTAAGGGATAAAATGTTATAGTCTTAGCAGGACAGGAGAATATGTTAAAACACATATTTCACATGCATAGAAGTAAGGTCAAGACCGTCTCTGTTGAAGAAGGCAATGGTAAGAAACAGTGAAAAGATACTTCAAAAACGGCAGCTGCCCAGCCTCTCTGAGTCATATACACAGGTAAATTTGATTATCTATCTGTCTAGCAAATACCAACATCAGGCTTACTGTGAAACACTAGCGCTATTAATATCAGAACAAGACACTCAAATGCAGCTTTTCTGTAATGCATGTTATTTTCAATTGATAATATTGTCTCCCTGAAAGCCCAAAAGAATCAACAGGATAACCATCAATAAGAATAATAGAATTTAGAAACTCAGTAAAAAGCACACATGAAAAAAATAATGTTTTTCCTAAGCATCAACAGTAGTCATTAAGACAATATAAAGAACAATGATTCATTTCTTGATGCCCACAACTAAAAATGAAAATGACAGTTTTAAACTCAACAAGAAATGTGTGAGATCCATAGTTTAAAACACCAATTTTAATTAARGACCTAAAAACATATTTGAATAAACTAGGATATGTTCCTTGTCCATTACTATAAGACTCAATATCCATAAGGAAAGTGGTTCTTTCCAAATTCGATCTTTTAATTTGAAGCAAAACTAGGCGATTTATAGTATTTTTTTTTTCTTGGAGGACAAACATGACAAAATGTTTATAAGGTTCACTTGAATTAATTTATTATTTTATAAAATAGTCAGAAAGCTATAAATTAAAATAAAAATAAAAATTACAGGTGTCACACACCTGTAATCCCAATGACTCAGAGGTCTAAGGCAGGAGGATCACAAGGTAAGGCCAGTCTCAGCAACTTAGTGAGACCCTGTCTCAAAATAAAATAAAATAAAATAAAATAAAATAAAATGGACTAAGGACATGGGTTAGTGGTGAAGCACTCCTGGGTTCAATCCCCCATACAAAAAAAAAAATATGTGTGTGTGGATACACACCTAAATATATACAAAATATGTGTATTTAAAAGTTTTCATTAAAAAAGAAAATTAAGAAGAGATTTTCAAAGTATTAGAGCAGATAGAGTCATAATGAGCACAGTAAAAGACAGATAAGAATGTAATAGAATGAAAATCAGAAACATATTCTAGTATGGTTTGCAGCTCAAAGTTGTAATTTCTACTCAGTGAGTCAGAGTATGAGATATAACAAATGCAATAGAATTGTTAAATAACCATTTGAGAAGTAAGAAAGGTAGAATATAGCTTCATATTATTTCTTAAAGTAAAATTAAGGTGACAATTATTATGATGCTAATACTAAAGACATGATAGGTAAACATGTATGTAATTGTTTATATAAAAAAAAAACACTGGGGAAAACTTTAAAGTCATTTAAACAAAAAAACAAAACAAACAAAAAAACAAAACAAACAAAAAAACCATAAGGGAAAACATTGATTTGAATATATGCAAGTACAAAACTTATGTTCAAAATAGTATAAGCATAATTATAGATAAAGAGAAAGTTAGGAAATATAACATCAGAAAAAGAATCCATATCTTTCATCTATAAAGAGTTTTTAATACAAAGATTTATATGAATAAAAAGTTATTCATACACATTTTATATGTTTTACTTATACATCATATACATTTGTATATATAAAGTACATAAAGATTTTCTACTTAAAGGTTTTATATAAAGTTAAAAAAAGTTTTATACAAGTAAAGACAATATTCCAGTAGAAAAAATAACCCTGAATCCATGATTTAATAGACAAATTTTAATAAATATATAATAATG